AGCCGCAGCAGCCAAAGTTAATTATCTGTTAACTCTAACTCGAAGCCAATTCACGCCTGTCTCTGCAAGTCTATAGATAGCCCGACATATATCTCTATGTACAGCAGCTGTGGCCGGTAGTCGGTAGTCGATAGTTTCTGTTTTAGCTGGTAGTCCGTGTACTGCCGCAATGGGGGCGTGACAGGCGCTACGAGAAGTGCCCAGTCATGGCCTCTCAGCAGGTTCCAGCCAGGCCAACAATAGCCCGAAAAAATCAGCTAATGAAACGCAAGTGCACGCAGTTGTACAGAGGAACGTATCATTAACAGAGACAGGGTGAGAGGGGGAGGGGCGAGAGGTCAGAGGAAATGTAGAGCATTTGCAGTAATGCCGAAGAGAAATGGGATTTAGCTCATAGTTCATAGTTGAGGTGAGCTATTGGCGATAATCCGATCTCAGACATACCAATACAGCTGCAGCTGCTCAGAGCCAGCGGCAACAAGGGGTTAACGCTGATGAGCATCTTAATCTAAATGCTCGAATGGTCGATTGGTCGATTGGTCGATGGCTCGTATGCCGACTGCCGCATGCTCGTATATCGCATTGGAAATGGAGCCGCTGCCAAATCATGTCAATCAGCGCGCGAATACGTGACACACATTTGCAGCATGCCGCATGCCCCCAACTGCGGCAGGCGGGCACCGAAATCGAAGCCCAGCGCCCAAGCGGGTCACAATGAAGCAACTTTGACTTTTGGCTGAGCGCTGGCACAAATTATATGTTAAGCTCTTTAATGGGGCCACGGAGCGGGGTTGGCCCGGCCGCAAACGGCGGCCGATGCGGGGCGATTGGGGCGAACCCGAGCCCCACCCGCGCCGAGGAGCTGCCGTTTAACATAATTTGCTATAATTTTCAACACAACGCCGAGCCGAGGAGCTGCCAAGTGGCAGCCGCCAGCCAACAACGGGGCCACCTTATCCACATGCCCTCCAAGCTTGCCATCGGCCCAGCTCCGTCCCCCCGCTCGCTCCCTCTCGGCCCATCGTCTGCCCTCCAGTTGGTCCGTTCGAGCGAGTCAAAAGCGCAATAATCATTTTGTTATGTTTCGCTTAGCGAGGGGGGGGGGGGGGGGGGTGCGGGCTGAGAGCCTGATTGCTACCACGGCCATTATGTTACGTTGTTTGCCCTTTTATGTCAGGGCCTAACCTATAATTTAACTAAATGTTCAAATGTTCTGCGAGCTGTGCCGCCCCGTCGCACCCGGCCACAGCCGAGCTGGCCGCCGCCTGCGCCTCAAACAACAAATTTGTTGAAAGCTACACGAAATTGAAAACAAATTTCTCATCTCTTGTTGCGCCTCGTTCCCGGCTGTCCAACAGTCCAACAGACCGACTTCCCAACTTCCCCAATTGCCGCTCTCAAGTGCGGAAATAAAATATTATAAGCGCTGTCCAAATTACCGCAAAACAGCCAACAATTTGGCCGGCAGCGCATTATATCATATTATATCATAACATATCGGAGCACAGCACAGCCCAGAGAGCTCTTGTGAGGCGCAAATCGAACGTCAGGATCAGATAGATAGCCAGCATCAAAATTAAAAATCGATCAGTCACAGACAGACGAAATAAAGAGCGCAATTTGCTAAAGGGTTCTTAAGCGAAATTTTAAAAACACATAAGTGTATAATGTATAGGAAATAAATGATGGAATATGCTGAAAATGGAATATTCTTTAGTGGATCTTGAGATATTGCGAGTTGCTAAAGCAGAGCTTGGAGAGACATCAGCAGTAGGCTGGAGATATATCCATGTCTTTAATCTATATGTAAGGCAGTTAGCGGAGAACTATTCATATATTGTGAGGCATTACTCTTAAGAGCATTTTATATTGAGGTGGTAAAGAGAGCAGGTTCCTAAATACGGGCAGACGCACGGAGGTACAGAGAGACGAACAAACAAACGGATGGACAGACACATAGACGGACGAACGGAGGGTCCGACTGAGGGATAAACGAACTGCCAGACGAACAGAAGGCTGGACGGACTGACAGACGAGCGTAGCTAGATTTACTTGGCTGTTGATCCCTATCTTCCACTCTATATGTACATATATAGCCTCTATAGAATACTGTACTGGATATGCCACGCCTCCTTTCATCAATTACGCACAAATGCATAAGCCACGCCCATTTTCAATGGCTTCGGAGTATAACGAGTTACATCCATTCCCAAAGCCATGCAACTTGAATAGAGTATAAACATATTTCTGGTCCTAGCCATAGCGCGGCCGCACTCCATTGAGTGCCCCGCCCCGCCCCGCCCACTGCGCCCACCATTTTCCACTCTAAACGCCCACACCCAATTGCCATTATTCTCTTTCTTTTTTTCGCCTTTCTTTGCCATTTGTTGCTGTTTTTCTTTGTCGAGCAGCAAAACAATAGCGAAATAAAAGTGGGAGAAAAAAAAACAGAGAATACTAAAGCTTCAGCTGAATTGCAAAAAAAAAAGGGAAGAATGGAAACATTGCGGTAAAAACAAATACCAAATAACAAACTATTGTAAATGCATATTTTAGAAAAGAGTTGTTGCCTCTGTTTTCCCTCCCCAGCCCCTAGCCCTGCCCCCGTTCGCTGCCCATTTGCTAGTTTGTATTTCGCTCAATTTTGTTTTCCTTTATTTGCATTGTTGTTGCGCATATGAAAATGAAAAATTGTGTGACCGCAGGGACCAGAAGGGGCGAATGGCAAAAATAAAGCAAACAAACACACACGCACTCATGTATGTACATATGTGTGTGTGAGTGCGTCGTACCTTGCCTTGGGCAATGGCCAATGCGGGTGCAGGGTCTGCATCTATGCGGTTTTATTTATTATCTTGCGGTTTCCAAGTAATTGAAATGTGACGTCTAGTAAACACAAACAAAAAACTGTAATGGAACTAGTTCTGGTTCATTAAGGGCAATGGAGCCATTTCCTGTTAGTGCTGAGCAAAAGAACTCATCAGATGTTAGCAGGGATCTGTAGATGGGGAAGTGAACTAGTTCAAGTTCATCATGTGCTCAGTGCAGTTTTACAATCTATATATATGTATATGTAGGTGCGCTAGTTCCAAAGTGTTTGGCAAAAGAACTCTTCATATATAAGAATGGATTAATGGTTAGTGAAATGAACTAGTTTCAGTTCATCATCTGCTCAGTGCATACATTTTGAAACTTATATTTCTACATATATTACATAATTTATAATTGAACTAGTTCCAGCTCAACAGCATAAATGGAACCAGTTCTTGTTAGTGTTTAGCAAAAGAGCTCATCAAACTTTAGCAAGGATCTGTGGTTAGTGAAGTGAACTAGGTGAAGTTCATAATATGATTTATGTGAATTGCATTTATTACGTTGAAAGTCAATTGAACTAGTTGCAGCTCATCAGCATAAAAGGAAGCAGCTCTCATAAGTGTTTACACACCTTATGTCATCAGTGCAGTAACTGAACCAGGTCAAGTTTCATCCGCAAACTGAACCAGTTGCGGCTCATTAATATCCAACTGAACTAGTTCCAGTTCATTACGAGCTCTTGCCTGCTCTGCCCTGCCTGCCAGTGGCTAATGCCCAGAGTCCAAGTCAAAGTCAAAGCCGAATTCCGATTCAGATTCGGGCTCAGCGCTGCTGTCAGGAGAGTCACACGCTTGACCAACTGCTCGACACGGACTCGGACTTAATGTCAAACGCTGATCTGAGCTGGAGCTGGAGCTGGAGGCTGTGGCCAGGCTGGGTGTCAGGCCAAGCACAGCGTGTTACTTCCTTTTGTGTGCATCCTGTGCGCCGACAGCCGCACTCAATGCTCAAATTGGAGTTCTCACAGGCCGAAAGGCTTTTCTAGTGAAATGTGTGCTCGTTGTGCCACAAAATGTCAGTTTCTAGACTGAAGTGTGGGGAGTGGGGAGTGGAGAGAGGAGCGTGGAGTGTGTGTGGGGCAGTGGCTGGGACAGAGCACCCCAGCTCATATGCATGTCTATGCTGTGGCTGTGGCTGAGACTGAGGCTGGCGTAGGTTTCGGCCGAGTTGAGTTCATAAAAATGCTCAGAAATTCAAATGAACTGCAGACGACGGCGACGGCGACGGCGACGACGACGTCGGCGCTCATCATTAAAATTCACGCTTAAATTGCCTCTTAGAACGGGAACGGGAACAACAGCTGCTGATGATGCTGCTGCATGGCCATAGCCCAGGCCCCCAGACGCTGAATCCGCAGAATCTAAGCCAAATTCATTGGAAACTATTTGCCAAAAATATATAAAGAAAGACAGACAGAGAGACAGACAGACGGACGTAAAGGACACACAGAATACGGCAAACTGCAAAAAGGAAGAAAAACACAAAAACCAAACACATAAATCAAATCATTTCATTGAGAAAACTTTGCCATAGCCAAAATGCAAAGAGAACAGCACAGAAATCAGTTCAAGTCCAAGTTGAAAACAGTTTCGTTGACCGCCAGCAAAAGATCATTAAAAACGCGTCCAAGATATGAATATTAAAATGCCAAAAACTAAAAATAAAAAAAAAAATAAATAAAAAATAAACGAAAACAACACAAAATATTAAAAACGATGAGCCCAAAACCAAAAAACCAAAAACCAAAAAAAAAAAAAGGAAGACAAAGCGCGGCCCGGGCAAAAAGCGAAATGCGAAAAGGTGCCACTAAAAATTTTGAAATATGTTTTTATTTTATTACTGGGCATGCTGTGCACGGTGCTTCTGGAGCACCCGAAACGATGCAGAACCTCGTAAAATGGCCCGATCCGCTGTACAGAGCGGAGCTGGGACCGGGGCTAGGGCTAATTTTGCAACGGCCGCCCGGTGTGGCTGGCGGTAGCATCAATGCAACAACAACACACAGCTGGGGAGGGGGGCGACTGACTGACTGACACACTGGCCATACCAAAATCAACATACAACATACATATAACATCCAACATATAACATATAACATTGCTCACTCTCCGCTCATCTATCCGCAGGTCTGGTTCCAGAACAAGCGATCCAAGGAGCGTCGCATGAAGCAAATCACCAGCATGGGCCGTCCGCCGTTCTTTGGCGGCGCGCGCAAGATGCGCGGCTTTCCCATGAATCTCTCGCCGGGCGGGCTAGACGATGGACCCGGCTTTCCCTACTTTGCTGCAGACGCTAAATTCGAGTTCGGCTACGGCGGGCCCTTCCATCCGCACGATGGCCCATTCTTTCCCGGCCATCCCGGCGGACCGATGCCCTTCAATGCGCCAGGTAATATAGCCATAACATGATATATTACCACTAATACAATACTATCTACAATATTATCCAACGACTGCAGAAGTTGGTCTTGAAAGGGCATTAAATTTGAGCTTATCTTTAGAGGAATACGAAACTGAAGTCGTATAAATTAGGAATTGCATTTTAATGAATGTTTCATTCTTTAGATAAACTAAATTAAGTTCAAATCGTTTTCCATTAGACTTAGTTTTCTTTATCAATAGCATAGCTAACCTCTTTTTTTTTGCCAATTTTTAATTACAAACGAAATTCAATTATTTGAAGAGACTAGCAAAAATTCACCATAATAATGATTATAATAATATATTATAATTATCTCTCATAAAATCAGCAAATATTTAAAATCTTAGAATATACAATATACTCAGAATTTACTTCTTATGTTCCCCTTTTTAAATTTTTTAGTACCTTCAATCCCTATAATAAAGTAGTTCTCTTTACTAAGAATCAAACATATATAACAATTAAACAATTAACAGTCCAAAAATGCTCAAATATCTAACTCTCTCTCTCTCTGTCTCTTTCTCGTTCTCTCTGGGAAATCCAACAGGTGGACCAATGGATCACAGTGGTCCCATACCGATGGTGAACGAATTTGGCCTGACGCCCGAGTCAACATTTCTGAGTCAGGCGGGCGCACCGCCAATGCAGCTGCAGACGGCTGTGGGGCCGCCGCCGCCGCCACCGCCAAATGCCGCCGAGCACTTGCTGCAACAGGCGGCCGCGCAGCAGCAGCAGCAACAGCAGCAGCAGCAGCAACAACAGCAGCAGCAGCAGCAGGCGGCCCAGAATGCGCAACAAGCAAGCCAAACGCAACAGCAGCAACAACAAAATGGCCCGCGCACCGCATCTCCAGAGTTCATGAGCTCGGCGAACTTCAGCGAACCGCAGAATATGCAAAATGAAGGGCTTGTTTGGTAATATACAAAACAGTTGGCAACGCGCCTGCTGTTTCTCAAGACCTACACGCAGCGGCAGCAGCAGCACCACCAACAACAACAACAATACGACGAGGAGTAGCAGCTAGAGCCAGAACAACAGCAACAACAACAACAGTAATAGCAGCAGCAGCAGCAGCAGCAATGACAAAGCTTCGTCGCGTCGTCGTCGTCGTCGTCGCGTCGTCGTTGTCGTCGTCGTCGTCTCTGCCGCCGCCCACTGCGCGTACACTATTGCCATCTCGCTTCGCCACACTGGCGACTCGTAAGCAGCACGCGTCGTGTTCGAGCGAGAGGGCTGTTGCATTGTGCGCTCGCTCTCTCGCAATTCAAATGAGGAGAAGTCTCGTCGTCGTTGGCTGGCCCTGCCCCGCACCCCCGCCGCAACGCCTAGCCCATAAACCAAAATGCGCTGCCTTTGGCCAAAAACAGCTGCTCAGCTTTGGTTTCGTTGTTTTTATTATTATTCTGTTTATTGTTTTAGTCTTCTTTTTTTTTACGACTGCGCCAAAATATTTGTAAATTATTTTTAAAAATTCATAGCGAAAACAAAGCAAAAACAAAACAAAACAAAAATCTCTAAATGTACATTGAATGGGCGCTGCACATAAAGCTATATATATATATATCTATGAATATTTATATATATACATATATAAATGTTTTTTTTTTATTAATCTAACTAATGCAAGGAAAGAAAAAGAAAAAGCTAAAAATGTAAAACTAAAAGAGTAAAACACATTACTAAACGTCTTGTCTGTAATAAACTATTTATGTGTATGTGTGTAAAAATAAAAATATAAAACATTAAAAACAAAATCACAAATACGTAGCCTAAAAATCGTGTTAGCCAGCAAAGAGATAAAATTTAAAAAAAAAAAAAAAATACAATGGAAAAAAGCGCTAAACATAATATGATTTTTTTTTTTTTTTTTTTTTTTTTTTTGTATATTAGCACATTTTTATAATTAAATACAAATTTGTTTGTCTAAAATTTTTTTTTTTTTACTTTTTTTTATTATATGAAAAGATATATAAATATACATATTTTATAATCGTTGTCTAACAACATAAACGTAACTAGGCATGTACTTGTGTAGTTTTCTAGCCACTAAGTTCATATATATATATATATACATATATATTTCGATATATACATATATGTGTGTATACAAAAAAAAAAAAGCGCGGAATATATAAAAAGTATATATATAATATAAAAAAGGATAAAAGGCGTATGCATATATATATATTGTATGTAAAGCTATATAAAACAGCACACATAGTAAACTATTTTTTTTTTTTTTTTTGTGGTCCTAGCTTTTAAGCAACATAATTTATTATAAACAAATCTATGAATGATAAATAAAGCAAAAATATATTTAAAAAAAACACACACACAATATTTGAAAATGCTAATTAAATGTAATATCAAAATGTAAAACTAGCAAAAAATATATATAAAATATTATATATATTAAAAGGAAAATAAAACAAAATTGAAAGAAAAAAAACAAAAACAGAAATGCAAAATCTAAGGAGAAGTCGAAAGCAGATGCAAGAACAGCTATAAAACAAATATAAATTTCTATATATCTCTAAAAAAAAAAAATTATATATATATAGAAAACATAAAATGAAACCAGCTAACGATATGAGTTTTCAATTGATATTATTATGGATTGGCCCCGGGAACTGAAGCTGGACCTGGGCCGCATCGCCCTATTACACTTATTATTGATATAATTATTATTATTATTATCATTATTATTATTATTATTATTATTATTGTAAAAAGTATTTAGTGTTAGCTTAATGCGTAAGTTTATTAATTGATGCAAACACAACAACAACAGCAACTATAACAAGAGCAACAACAACCACTAGAAGAAGCCTAAGGACATCCGTACATTTATCATGGAGAATCTTTTAGATGATTGTTGGAGAAGCCAAGCAAATCAATAATAAACAAACAAAAAGAAAAAACAAACAAAAACAAAACAAAATTGTTAACAAAACAAAAGGTAAAAGCAGAAAAGCTACAACAAACGATGAAAAGAAACCCTTGATGAAAGAAAGGGAAAGATATGGAAATAAAAAATTATGTAAAAATATTTGCCGTCTTTTATGAAACTGAAAAAACAAAAATCAAAATATATTTTTATTCATTGCAGATGCTCTAGAGTCTCTATTTACAGATCTTCAAATTACTTAGCTCTATTTTATTTCATATTTTATCTAAAAAAGTATCTGTAGCTAAAAGAAACTTTCTGTTTATCATATGAGAGACTAATAGCTCTCATATGTTTCAGAATCTTTTAAATATGATTTTAATTACAATTCTGTTTCATTAGGTCAATGTTACGCTTGTATTTCATATCAAATACAATTTCAGTTTGTTTATAGGAGCAATGAGCAAAGTCTGATGATTGCCTTTTACTAGCTCTTGGATGCCATTTTATCATTAATTCATTCATTCATTCATTGATATTATTTCTCTGCGAGTTAAGTCTGAAATACTTTTGCCTAATCTATATCATTTCATCAAATACTTTTGTCGCTCTTAATTGATACATAGCTCTGTTTGCGTTTCCTAGTTCTCAGCTACTTTTGTATCTTTCAAAAAACACTTTCGTGTATTCGTATCTTAAAGATACATTCCATTTGATTTCACATTTGGGCTGGCAATAACACAAGCAGCAGCAATTAGGAAGTGTGCACATTACATCTTAAATCGTTACCTTAAACATAAACACACTCACACTCACACACACATACATATATATAGATAGATAGGCATGCACAGCCATAACAACAATAGGCGTCTCGCAACACACACCGACACATGGGAAAGTTAATATGCGTGGCTAATATCGGGGCAACATTATTAATGTTGTGGACATGCACATGCGTGTCTGTTGTTTGCCAGCAGAGCCCCAGCTCCAGCCTCGAATGGGAACCTTAAGCGGCTCCACACTGGAAATGCTCGTGTGCGTGGACTGCAGCTGGTGGAGCAGGGCGGGGTGCCGCGGGGAGCGGACAAGGGGTTGAACACAGCACAGGCAGGTGGGGTGGGTGTGGTGGGTGGTTGACTGCGCCTTTGTTCGACACATGTGCGCGCATTCACACCTACGACTAGCCTCAAGAAACGAGCAACGGGCAACTGGAGGAGGCCGGAGGTTGGGGCATTAACGCACAAACTATGAACAACGAGCCGAGCTCATAGGAACAATATGCGATGGAACGTACAACGTGCTACGTTGGATGTGGCCCGGACACGGCAGCATGATAGCATTTAATACAAAACAATGCTATAGAGCGCATGTTGCTATTGTTGCTGCTGTTGTTGCTGTTGTTGTTGTTGTTGTTGTTGCAGCTGACCAACATCTCTGGCCATGACGAATTCGGTGCCCAAATACATTTACAGGCGTTGCAAAACGAGCCACGCACTGGCTGGGCCATGGCGGGCGGCAGCGGTGCTGAGGGCCATGCAACGAGCCATGCAGGCAGCCAGGCAGGCAGCCATCCAGGCAGGCATTGCACTGCTGTGAACTGTGAGGTATATCCTTGTCTAAAACGCATATTAAACGTCCATCAGAGCCAAGCAACAGCAACAACAGCAACAACAGCAACAACAGCAACAACAGCAACAACAACGTGCTATGTTCAATCTGTCCAGCCATCAATCCACAAAGGCAAAAAGGACTCGGACTACCCAGAGCTGACGTGTGACGTGCGTTTATCAGTGGCTGGAGAGTACGGACAGGCCAGGACAGGATGCAAGAGGCAGGAGTGGGTACAGTCGGACAGCAGGGCCTGCCTACCGCTTGACTGATGGACATTCGCCATGGCCAAAGGGCGACGCAGCCGTGAATGGCTGCATGGCATGGTATCTACTCTCCCTCTCCCTCTCTCGCTCTCTCTCGCTCGCTCTCGCTCTACTACAGCCCTCGGTTTAGCTCAGCTCTGCAATGTTTCCGTTTCCGTTTGTCGCCAAAAATGAATTTGTTAACATTAAATGGCATTCTGGCCCAACTGCGACCCCGCCCACTTTGCCCACACACAGCAATTGCAGCTCAGCTCTAATCATCATTCATAGCACATGCCATGGCATGATGAGCCTGAGTCTGAGATGAGGGCAAAGGCGGAGGTGGTGGAGGCAGCTGGCCATCGTCATGATAAATGCTTCCGAAGTTGCAACTTAGTCACGCGCTTCGCTAAGCCCGATCATAATTTAGAGCAAACATTTATATGTACATACATATATGTATGTAGATACATGTTTGTATATGTGTATGTGTATGTGCATGCTAAGCCACAAAATTGACTCTTAAAGATGCTTTGATCGGCTAATGGGGTTTGGTCTTTGCTGTTGCTTTTGTTGCGTTGCGCTCGCCTGTTGATTGCTGATTGCTCGCTCCTCGCTCTGACCGCCTAATGACTCAATTTTTACCAAAAGCAACAGCAACAACAACAGCACAAGCAAAAGCAAAAGCAAGGCCAATTATGCGGCAAACAACAGCAACAGCAACAACAACAACAACAGCAAAAACAGCAAAACACTCGCTTCCCATTCACAATTAACAACATGACTCAACTCGCTTGCAGCTGCTGACGGCGCAGTGCGGCGGCAGAGCCTGCAGGAAGTCGCAACTTGCAACGTGCTACGTGCAACTGCATACGTTGCGTGCGTGCCACGCAATGACAGTCAATGGCAAACTATGTTTGATTTGAAGCTGTCGAAAGCCGAAAGCTCAGAGTTCCAACAACAACAACAACAAATAATGAATGGGCTAACATCGAATGTCTGATATCCTTATGGATATCAATTTGGATCAACTTGTTAGAGAAATTCGGCAAGGCTCTTCATAGCTAAAGCCTGACTAGTTAAAGTGGCGAAATCACAGTCCAACGAGTCAATCTAGTTTCTGGAATATAGACAAACACCATCAAGTCGTCGACAGATTCAGGGGCAACTCATCATGCCAGAGCTTGGCTCTTGACAACATCACGCAAGTAGAAGCTCCAAGTCAATTAATATCTCTAATGTAGAACCAAACA